GCTGGAAACAAACAATCATGAGGGTGTTTTTAACAGAGTAGGGAAGAGTTTGTGATATGATGCCAAGTGACAAAGGAGAATCTACCATGACTCCAAGATTTTAAGAGGAATATGAAATTGTTGCAAAATACAGCATGCAGAGAAGGAAGGTGAAAAGAGGCCACAGGAGTGCTGCAGGTGTGAGGAGTGAAGGGACTGGAGGCCAGCTTCCAAGCCCTGGAGCACCACTTCCACTTTACCATGACCTCAGTTGGGAGATCCTGCAGGGAGGCCCTGGACCAAGCAGAGACCAACATCTGGTGTGGTCCTTGAAAGGGTAAGAGATCTGCTGGACTTGGCAGCTCTGTCAGCTAGAGCACTCTGTCCCCCATTTACCTACCCACTGAGGAAGTTAAAGTACAGTGGCCTCTGATTTTGACAAACAGCTAATAGTACCAACCTTGAGAGAAGGGCCTGGGCTCAGATGAGCTTAAAATCAAAGGAGCCAGCTGGTTGTGGTGGCACACAAATTCCATCAGCTTGGGAGGCTGAGGCAGGAGGATTGAAAGTTCAAAGGCTGCCTCAGCAACTTAACAAGGCTCTAAGCAACTCAGAGAGACCCTGTCTCTAAATAAAATACAAAAATGGGGGCTGGGGATGTGGCTCAGTGATTAAGCACCCCTGGGTTCAATCCCTGGTACCCCCCACCCCAAAAAAAAAAGAAAGAAAGAAATCAAGGGAGGTGGGTGGGGGTGATTCTTACCACCTGGAGGGCTCTCAGAAATGGCAGGGGAGGTCTGAGGATTAGCATCAGCCTCTCCTGCAACTTCATAAACTCCACAACAGATGGCTTCATTATCAATGGGGAAACTAAGGCACAAAGAGACCAGGTCACTAGACTAGAAATTTGACTGCTTGTAAGAGTGAATCTGACTCCATGTCTGCTGTTGGCCACAGAAAATAACAATATCAACAACAACTGAGGCTGGGTACCCACTCAGGGTGCTCCTCATAGCTTCGCAGGTAATTGTGTCCTCCCACACAGGACACTTCAGGCACCCAGCCCAATTGTCAGTGACACAGGAGGTCCCGAGCTTTTATCCTCAGGCCTGTAGGAGCAGTGGCTCTTGCCAAGAAAGCGTTTCAGGCAGCACTCTGTGTTTAGAGATTTTGTAAACATCTGCTGAATTGGAGGGAAATATCCTTAACTGTTTCAAAGCCAAAAGATAGAAGGAATACTGTTTTTCACTTCCCCTGAAATGAAATCTGTTAACTGGGAACTCCAAAAACTCAATCCTCAGGAACTTGAAGCCTAAACTTAGATTGTCCTTGGAAGGTCAAAGGATCCCTGTGGGGCAGGGTCAGCCAGCAGCTGCTCAAGATAAACTTTGCTTTTCTGCAGACTCAGGTCTTTCTCTCACACAATTAATGAGATCCTGTGGCACTTCCCCTGGGAGAGCAGAACAATAGCTGTGAAAGAGCAGGTGGCCTTGGCCAGGCTTGCCTTAGAAGCCCCTCACCAGAGATCAGGATTCATATCCCTGAACAGCCCTGGGCACCTTCTGACTTTGGCCTGTAAGGCCCTGTCCCACCTCAGCACTCTGGCCACTCCTGCCTCCTTCTGCTCCCCACCCCCTTAACTGATGCAGAGCCCCACCTCAGGGCTCTGGGGAGGGCTTCTGGGGATTGAACCCAGGACTTTATGCATGCTAGGTGAGCTACACCCCAGCCCAAAATGCACCTAAGCATTTTTAAGATCTTGCACCAGCACTTCCTTCTGTTCTACTGGAAACTTCTTTCTGGGACTGCTGAAACTTTTCTTTCTTTCTTCTGAGAGGCCTTTACTGATCTGTTTCCTAACCAGTTATTGGTTTATCGTCAGTTCCTTCAGCTTCTTGTGCTGTGTGCTCTGGCAGAGAAAGTGCCAGGCACACAGTAGTTGGTCAGCTCCTCAATGAGAGGAAGGAATGGTGGGTATGTCCTGGTGATTTGAACTGTGCCACTGGAGGCAATCCTTGATCTGGAGATAGGTTTAAAGAGAGCAGAATCAACCCTGGATGCCATCTCTAGGCCTCTGCAGTGGCTCTGGTTTTACTGCAGGTCAGGACCATGACCAACATGTGGAGCCTGAGATTCTACACCAGAGAGACATGAGCTCACTAGGGCCATCTGGGGTGCCAGAATGGGGGTGGAGAGAGGGAGAATAGTAGATAGCCCAAGGGAGAGTCTTGGGCTGGTTGAAGTCTCAAGCTAGCTAGAGGAGTAGCAGGTAGCCTCCTACCTGGAACTGATGCATGAAGATGACCACCCTATTGAGGATTAAGTGGAAGAAAATGCACTATAGACAGGAGGGATCATGGATGCCAGACAGACCAGTTTGAGACTTAGAGGAAGGTGAGTCTGGTTGGAGCATGAAGTGTGTGCTCAAAGCCACACAGAGCCTGGCAGCTAAGCTGGCAGGGATATACTCCCCTGCATATGATCCAGGAGAGGGGCCTGACAGGATAGAACAGCTGGGCAAGGGTGAACTTTGTGTGACCTGAAAAGGCTGCAGTAGTTGTCCCAAGAAGATGGTAGCATTGAAGGTGGTGGGAAGGCTAGCGAGGTCCCTGGATTGGGCCAAGGGGAAGCAGGACTGAGAGTATGGGCCCCTGTAGTGGACAGGGAAGGGGACATCAAGGAGGACCTACCTACAAAAAAGGGAGTAGTCCACAGGTCTGCAGAAGGAAGAAAGTACCAAGTTACAGAGTGGTTGGGAGGAGGTATCCCACTTTGCAGGGAAAAATTGGATGGAGACAAGTGAGGATGACAGATGTTGTGGTTTATACATTAGGTGTCCCCCAAAAAGCTCTTGTATAAGACAATATAAGAAAGCTTAGGAGTGAAATGATTGGGTTATGAGAATCTTAACCTAATCAGTATTAATCCACTCTAGGGATTAACTGGATGGTAACTGTAGGCAGGTAAGGGCTAAAGGAGGTGGTTTTCTGGGGGCATGCCTCTGGGATATATATTTTGTATTGGTTGAGCAGAGCTATTCCAGCTGCTTTCCACCACCACACCCTTCCACCATGATATTCTGCCTCACCTCAGCCCCAAGGAATGGAGTTGGTCATCTAAGGGCTAAGATTACTGAAACTGTGAGCCCTAAAAAAAACTCTTCCTCTTCTAAAACTGTTCTTCTCAGGTCTTTTGGTCACAGCAGTGAAAAAGCTGACTAAAACGACAGCCCCCACCCCCATTCCAAGGCCCAGAAAACTTGCCTTCAGTACCTCCCCAGATGGGATGAACCAGGCACTGGTCTTATCTCATTTACTCCATTCAGAGCCACCTTTTTTTTTTTTTTTTAAGAGAACTTTTTAATATTTATTTTTTAGTTTTTTTTTTCGGCAGACACAACATCTTTGTTTGTATGTGGTGCTGAGGTTCGAACCCGGGCTGCACGCATGCCAGACAAGCGAGCTACCGCTTGAGCCAAATCCCCAGCCCTCAGAGCCACCTTAAGAGAAGGAATCTGGGCCCTGTGAGGGAGAGATCTATCAAAGCCCCCATGTCTGTGATTGGCATCAACAATATCATCCCTTCTCTGTGGAGGGCCTGAGCACTTTGGACCAGAGAAAAAAAATGTATCCTGCAGTCTCAGTCCAGGGCTGACAGTCCAGACTTGGTTGAAAACAAAGGAGCCTTCAGGGAATGGGGAGGGACTGCTGGAAAGGGGCTGGTGCCCCCATGGGTTTGTGGGCTGTGGGGTCTGGTGCCCCCACCTGAGCCTCAGGGGGCTCAATGTGTCCACCCCAGTGGACCTTTCAAGAAATGGCTGGGCCATTGTGCAGAAGAATGCCCGGAAATCCCGCACCTCCCTCCTCCAGCGAGGATGGGGGCTCTTCCTCCTGGTCAGGAAACTCCAAGTTGGCTTCCGGAAGGTGGCCTGGGGGCTGGGGTGGCAGGGCATCACCGACACTAGTGGGAGGGCAGGACACAGTCCTTTTGTGTCCCTTTGTTTCTTCTGTTCAAGGACCCGGAGTAGGCTGCCCAGCATGGGGCCACTGCTGCCCGTGGGAGCACAGCCTATATGCTGGGTAACTGAGGAACACTAGGGACTTCCTGAAGTGGTGTTGCCTGAGCTGGGCCTCAAAGAATGGGGGATGGGCATCATCACGGGAAAAGGAACAGCCAGGCAAAAGTTGAGGGCTATGGAAGCTCCCCTCCCTCACAGGGGTAAAGTCGGGGTTATTCAGGAAAGTCCCCTGCGCCGCCCACTTTGGGATAGAGCCTGAGGCTCCAGGGAGGCATGAAGGTGGTGGTGTTGGGCAGGATTTTGAATTTGGGATCCTGGGACCGATCACTATAGCTCTGCCTCGGACTCAGAGATGCACTGGAGAATGAGAGTGCAGAAAACGCGCCTAGTTTGGACTACAGGGCAGACTCTGAAGGCAGACCTAGGTGTCTCACCTGAGAGAAGAGAAGGACCTGTGACACCGCCCTCCCCCCGCACCAGGCCTCTTCGCGGTGGTGTTGGGATAGGAGGCTCCTGCAGACCTTGGTCGGGGATGAATGCAGTTGGTCCGAGTGGGAAGGACCATCAGAGTTCGAGATGTAGGCGTGGTACTGTACAGGCTGGAGGTTATATATCTCTTAAAGTGGCAGGTCCGGCACATGCAAGAGGTGGTTCGCTCCAGACCATCCCAGAATGGGCCACACCGCGACTAGGACAACAGCAGGGTTGGGGCTCTGAGGTAGGGGCTGGGCCGAAAGCGGCCGGGGCGCCGTTGGCTACCCTCAAGCGCAATTGTTCACTTAACTCCAGCTGGCGGGGGCGGGGGGTGAGGGGTGGGGGTGGGGTTAAGGGAAGCCTGGGATTGGTTGCGGGCTGATGGCCAGCGTATGGATTGGCTGCAGTGGTCTGTGAGTTTGGGTCCAGGAAGCAGAGTCCGCCCCCCGAGACTTCAAAAGGTGGGCCCCCAAGAGGCTCCTGCAGAGTTGAGGCAGTGCCGCAGGCCCGCAGGTTAAGCAGACTGCTAGTGGTGAGGTGGCTGAGTGGGCGCAAACGAACCAGGGTACTAGGGTGGGCGCAGGGCGCCGAGTCGCATCGCCAAAGCAGTGAGGCTCGCTCCGGGAGGCCCAGGGGCCAGAGCACGCGCACCTCGCCTCCAGACATGGGGTCGGCAGCGTTAGAAATTTTGGGTCTGGTGCTGTGCCTAGTGGGCTGGGTAGGCCTGATACTGGCATGCGGACTGCCCATGTGGCAGGTGACCGCCTTCCTGGACCACAACATCGTGACAGCGCAGACCACATGGAAGGGGCTGTGGATGTCATGCGTGGTGCAGAGCACAGGGCACATGCAGTGCAAGGTGTATGAGTCTGTGCTGGCACTGAGCACCGAGGTGCAGGCGGCGAGGGCGCTCACCGTCGGCGCGGTGCTACTGGCGCTGGTTGCGCTCTTCGTAAGCCTGGCGGGCGCACAGTGCACTACCTGTGTGGCCCCAGGCCCAGCTAAAGCCCGCGTGGCTCTCACAGGCGGCGTGCTTTATGCGCTGTGCGGGCTGCTGGCACTCGTGCCACTCTGCTGGTTCGCCAACATCGTAGTCCGTGAGTTCTACGACCCGGCGGTGCCAGTGTCACAGAAGTATGAGCTGGGTGCAGCCTTGTACATCGGGTGGGCGGCCTCTGCTTTGCTCATGTGCGGTGGCGGCCTTGTGTGCTGCGGAGCCTGGGTCTGCGCTGGCCGCCCGGACCTCAGCTTTCCAGTCAAGTATTCTGCGCCACGGCGGCCGACGGCCAGCGGTGACTACGACAAGAAGAACTACGTCTGAAGGCGCAGGGTACAGCGGTGTCCCTCCCGGCAGCCAAGCGAGCGAACGGAAGGACCAGACCGAAGCGCAGCGCACGGACGGCAGCCGCGGTAGGGTTGAGCCGCGCACAGATCGTGGAACATCTGGCTCTGCGTACTGACAGGACCTGCCAGGGTCCGAACCCCGTTCTCTGTGACCTCCACCAACCAAGCTCTGGCCCTCGCCCTGTACTAAACAGACGACGCGTACTTGTGAGGACTTTATAGTTTTCTTTTCCACGCGCTGAGGTGACTATGACGTGGGTAGGACTCTTGGCTTCCTTCGGCCGAGTGGGCACTGCAGATGCCAATTCCTTCCCGCCCCGGGGGGGGGGGGGGGGGGTCTTGCATGCTGCCTTAGTTCCCTGCAGCTCTGCCTGAATTCGTTAGAGCAGAGCCCACAGTCCCAAATCTGGGCTGCTGAAGGGACGTGTAAAAAACAGCCTTTTTTCTCGGCGCTTGGGCTCAAGGGACCGAGGGACTTGGCTTGGACCTCCCTGTCTCACACCCATCATTCTCCCCACCACAGGCGAGGCTTGTAGGCACCAGAACATGAGCTGGGGCACTGCCCTCTTTGCAGCTGGGGTGGGGGTCGGGAGGTTAAGAATTTGCTTAGTAAATGGTTTTAACACTCTGGCCTGCGTACTGTCCTCTGTTTAGTTATCCCTGTGCCCAGCACCTCCATTCACCCACCCATCCGCAGACTCCTCTCTGAAGTCTCCTATGAGGACCTCTCAGGGCTGCTCCCTAGGGCTCCATGATCTTTTCCCTAGTCCTTCCTGCCACCTCATCACCCTCCCACCAGGTGGGAGACAAACAACCTAGATCACCACAACCTAGGAAGATGGGAAGAGGCTGTCATGAGGCCACAGTTGGGAGGGATGGAGGCAGACCCTAGTAGAGGATCAGGCTGAAATACCCAGCAAAAGACTGGGAAGTGGGGACTTGAAATGTGGGAAGTACCGAGGGTGGGCAGCCTGGTTGCTTCCCCCAGAAAAGACACAATCCCCCTATGAACCAAAATGAGGTTTTCTACCTGCCCTTCCATGGCTTGCCTAGCTCTGAGTAACATCAAGCAGCCAGACATCTGCACAAAGCCAATCAGGCCCTTTCCAACAGCAGGGTGGGAAGGAGTGAATCCAGGATGTGTTCGTTCTAGCAAGGTTTGCTGGAGGGACAACAGTGTTGCCATGGGGAGAAGAGGCCTGTTGCCCAGACTACCTCGGCTCTGCTCCAGCCCCTTGTCCTGGCTCCTCTGCCAGTCACAGCATGGCTCTGTGTAGGGTCTCTGCCTACCCTGCTGCCTGGCAGCCAGACCAATCTGATACAGACTGTGTGGCCCTTCCTACCTTTTGTGTTGGTGGGAGCTGTTCCAGAAGGGCAGGGCAGAGCAATCTATTCTAGTTGGAAAAATCATAGTTTCTAACCCTGTTTTAGGCACTTTGAATTTGTGCACTTTTACTTTCTACCAAAAGACCAGGAGATGAATAGAGCAGTGGGGGAGGGGAGAGCAAGGTGCTTCAGGCCCAGCCAGCAGGAAGGCTTGGCATCTGCCTCCAACCTAGCCTCTAGAGCTCTGCCCAGAAATGCTTGGGTCATGTCCAATAATAGTGAGGAGCCTCCCAAGCCTGGCCAGGTTCCCCATCCTAGGGAGGAGAAAGAGCCCTAAGGATGTGGGCTCAGAAGTGCTCAGGGTAAATTCCAGTAAGTCACAGGGGAGCCAGCAGGTGGAAATTCTGGGGAGGTTGAACTTTCTGATGGCCTAAGTCCTCATCAATGGAAGCTACAGTGAGGGCCCCACTACCCAGAGGTCCTCAGCAGGGCCTGAACCTGGGCCTGGGTAGCAGGGACCAGAAACAGACCTTGAGTTTATAAGTATATGATACTAGAGCATGACCCTGGGTGGTGCCAAAGCAAAGGTTCTTACATGATTACACCTGGTAGCTGGGGCCTAGTAGTGTGGGAGTCCAAGAAGGTGTTCAGCCCAGAGCTGAGCCCTGAGGCTATCCTGAGGTGGCTCATCCCACACAAACCCTTTTCCAGAGTACAGAATATGGAAGGGCAGCTGTACAACCTCTAAGCTTTTCCAAATGGCTAGGGTGAGCAGCTTGAGGGCCTGGGGAGACAGACCTGCCTGATCCAAGCCAGGAAAGGCCTGGGTAAACTCCAACTCATGATCAATGGTACCACTAGAAGTCAGAGGAAAGGAGCTAGCCTCCAATCCAGTTGACCCCACTGTCCTTTTCAAGGGCACCCCACCTATCTGTGTCCTCATTGCCAAACCACTCTTTGCAGGCTTTTCCCCACTGATGTACAACCTGCATAAGGACTGTCAAATGCTAAATACCCCACCCCCAGCAGCCCAAATGCCTCACGGTGGATATTTCCCGCCAGCCTGCCTATTTCCCCAGCACCCATGTCCCCTGGCAGTGGCCATAGATTTGTGTTAACAACTCTCTTCAATAGGAAGGGAAGGAACCACCCTCTCCTCTGGTGCTCAGGAGACATCTAGGAAGGGTGGAGGAACTAACCCTAGGACTTCCCTAACTAGGAAGTCCTTGCTGCCCTGAATATTGTGGAAGATGCTGAATTCCCATTCAGTTTGGAACTTCTGTGTCCAGGATGTGGCTGATACCTACAGCTGGGCCTCGGGGATATAGTGTCTCTACTTGTGACATGCTCAACCAGTCAGGTCCTTCCTGGCCTGAAGCCTTCCCCTTGCTGTTTTCCTTTTCTGCAGAATGGTATGCCCACTGCTTGTCAGCAGAGATCAGGACACCTGGACAGATACTGAATGATGAGGCAAGGGCCAGTGTGTGTATTAGAGGGTGGTCAAGAGGGCAGACTTGTTGGAATAACTTTCACTTTGCAGCTACCAGCTATGAGCAACTCAGAGTGTTAGGAAAAACCTACGCTCATACAGGCCTGATAAGAACATCTGCAGGATGGGGCGCTCTGCTCTAGCAAGCCATCAGTGAAACTACATCCTCAGTGCTTGAGGTCTGCGTTGCGAAGCTACCAGGCCAGGAAACCTAGAGTTAGATGCTTCAGGGCATGAAACCCCTGACTCATAACGGCCCCTCCCCTAGGGACAAAGATCCTTCCAGACTGCTTCCCATCACGTAGCAATATTTAGAGCTTCATCATAGTGCAGTTACATTAGACATAAGATGATTGGTTTCTAGATGTTATATAACCTGCTTGTTTATGTATGATTGGAAGATGCATTCTATATCAATTGTAATCACTTCCACATTAAGTGAGCTGCTGGACATCAGCTGAGGTTGCCACCTGCCTGCTCTCTCACCAGCTTATCAGCTCCTGGTGTCTGTGTATTGACTCCATGTCTCTACCCGCCCGTGACTGAGGTAGCTGAGTGACCAACTCAACCACACCAGTAGACTGACAAAACCCACACAGACTTACAATGTTGACAAGGCCAGCCAGACAGAAGGAAGTGGTAGACAGGTAGAACCAGGTCCCATTTGATCTTGCTGGACAGTGGTTGGTGCAGGTATCATGAGGAGATCCCAGACTCTGGTGCTGTAGGGCCCAGCTTCCTACTACCATTGAGAGGTCTAGATGATAGGGTCCTTAGGGTGTGGAGGAGGGGGAGGCACATCTCTGTGCTTCCTGGCATGGAGGATGCTGGGGACAAAGGACCAAGCCTCCCGTGGACCCAAGGAAGGAAGGTTCAGGGCACACCTAAGTGCTGGCCCCAAGAGCAGAGCATTAATGGGGAACAGAACTTAAAATAAGTATTTTATTCCATTAAAAGCCACTATCCCTGCATCTCAAACTATACCCATAATTTAAAATCTAAATAAAAGCCAATTAAATATAAATAAGGAGAAGGAGGTCATTTCTGAAGAAATCAAATTCTGGAAAAGAAAAGGAAAAAAAGGTTTCAAACAAGTCTGATGTCTCAAATGTAACAAACTGCCCAGGCCTTCCCTCTGGCTTGCTGGGCTGCTGCTTTTGAGCAGCCTCAACCCCAGGGGTGAGGGCAGGTATCCCCAGGATAGAAAGCCACCCCAGATCCACCAAGGTACCCATCATTCTCTGCTGGGATTTGAGCTGTCCACATTAGAGCCCCGAATGCCCTCAGGGGCCCCAAGCACTTTCTTTCTTGGAAGACCCCACTTAGCTGTTTATCTTTCTAGGGTGGCCCCATGGCACCTTACTGAGGCTTCTCTCCTTACTTTGCCTGGCCAGTTCCCCATCTCTTGCCCCCTTTATCCCTCAGCATGCAGCATTTTCCCACCTCCCATTAGGCACCTCACCCCTGCCTGGCCAGCAGGATGCACACAGCAGGGTTGATATCAGATTGCAAGGAAGAGGTCTGCCTCCAATGCAGGTCCACTGCCTGAGAGCTCCCATATGTAACCTTACACCTCTGCTCCCAAATAAAGAGCCGGGTACTCATGCTCCCAACTCACTGACTAAGGGTATCAGCCAAATATACTCAGGCTCAAAGTCACTGCTGATAGATAACACAGACCTCACTGAGAACCCAGAACCTGTTCCCCCAATATGGTCCTGTACATTTAAGCCCCTCGGAGGGATGGACTACAGGGTCCCCGAGACCCCCTATACTATTCTGGTCTCTGTCCCCTGTGTTTTTCAGCTCACCATGGATAGGGGGAGCAGAGAGGACTACTTGTCTCAGGACACCCTCTACATCAGAGCCTTGGCAGGGTCATCTGCCATAGCAATAGACTCCGGCCTAGGGCTAGCAAGAGTATTCACTGTAGAAGCTCTGGGATAACAAATGGTCACACAGAAAAGGTTGCCTATCCCCACTTCCCAAAGGACCTTCAAGAAAGAGGTGGTATGTGGGACAGTAGGGAGAACCTGGCTGGGGAGGTATCTTGGGTCACAGTGGCTTGTTGGTGACTCACAATGAGCCTCTTAGAACAGCCATTCACTGGTGAAGGCTCGTGACATTTTGTAATTTGCAGCTGAGCAGCTGCCAACAACTTT